GGGATGTGTAGGAGTTTGGGTGATTCACAGCGTCCAGCTTGCTCTGGCAGCCTCAATTGCCCACTCAACTTTGTGGGCATTGGAGGCTCCTAGGAAGGAAGCCCTGGTGGCTGCAGACAAAGGGACAAGTGCCGCCTCCCGCCTGGCCTGTCCTCCCCAGGAGGACAGGGTGACAGGTCTGTGACCCAGTTACCCACTCCTTATCTTTTTGCCTTCATGACCAGCTGGGGTCACTGGTGACGTGGGTGCCCGCTCCTGCCCGCCTCCCTGGCACCGCTTTCTGGAGAGGAGACAGGCTTCTGGGGAGGGGGGCCTCAGAGAGATGCCGTGCTCAAAGAGGGGCTCAGACAGAGCACAGGTAGATGAGGTCTCAGAACTGGGACTGGCTCAGGGAAGGGGCTTAGCAAGGAGAGTGGCCTAGGACTGGACACCCTCCCCCACTGCTGATGCCCCAGATGCCCCTTCCCACCTGCGTCTTATCTTGGTGGCAGCCTTGGGTGGCAGCCATGGCCAATGTTGACACCTGCAGGGCTGGCTCTGTGCCTGCCAGGTGCCCCCTCCCTGGGCACTGACCTGTGGCTCAATCCGTACCCCTAGCTGATCCATTTTCCCACCGCCAGCTCCTCCAGCCACACTGCTCTGCCCAGCTGCTGTGTGACCCTGGCTGAATCCTTCCCTGCTCTGGACCTGGCACGTCCAGTCTCCTGGGTCAGGGAGACCAGCCCCTGTATGGGGGCTCGTTGTGAGGTGGGATGCTCTGTGCACCTCAGACTCAGAAGGTCAGCTTGGGTGGAGGATGGGAAAGGGCCTGATCCCAGTTCCGGGACAGTTGTCGTGGTGACTCACATTTCGGGGGACATTGGAGTAGGGGATCTGGGCTGGTACAGCCAAGCCAAGCCCAGCCCGCCCTGCCCTCCCTGGTGAGGATAGATGGCTATTTTCAGAGCCCTAGTAAGCTTGATGTCATCCCCCCTGCACCCCAAAGGCTGGAGGTGGCCCTGGGGGAGAAGGGACACAAAGCAGGGAGGGGACATAGGGGGCATCCAGGCCTGGACACTTAGGAGCCACAGCCGGCTAGAAAGAAGACCGGGAACTGAGAAGGGCCACTTTTCCCTGGCACCCCAACACCCCTGAGAACGGGCAATCCTGGAATAGGAGTTGATGGTTTTCAGGGCTCAGGGTCCCAGGTTCACATCCTCATCCAGGCCAGGAGACCCTAGGCCTTTGGCCAAGCCCTGCTCCCTTAGGAGGCAGTTTCCCATGACGCACTGGGCAGCCAGGCTCAGGCCTTTTGCTTCCTGTTCCAAGGCTGCAGGAGGCCAGCAGTCACATCCACAACATTGTATCAATAGCAACTAGAGTCATAGCGTTCCAAAGAGTCATAGTTGTAAGAATAAAACCCAAACCAGATGCAAGGCTGGGCCTTGGATTCTGCCCGCAGAACGGTGCTCAGACACCGCGTCATTTGGCTGGCTCTAGTGGCGCAAACACTTAAGCACTTGGCAGCTAACTAAAACCCAGATGTGCCTCAGAAGAAAGGCCTGGCAATCTGCTTCTGACAGGGTACCGCCTTGCCAGCTCTCTGGAGTGGACAGTCCGTCCTTCTCTGCACATGTGGGGTTGAGTGGACAGTCCTCAGCAACAAACCTTTACAGAAACAGGTCTCCAAGTCCTTCACTCATCATGCTGCTGAGTGGATTCGAGCCACCAACCTTTGAGTTAGTAGATAACCCACGTGATTCCAACCCATAGTGACCCTCACCTGGTTTCCGAGGCAGTAAATCTTTATTGGAGGAAACGGCCTTATTGTTCTCCCAGGAGAAGCTGGTGGATTTGAACCAATGACTTTTCAGTTGGTAGCCTGACAGCACATTAAGAATAAAAGCAGTTGGGGAACTCTGGTGGCCTAGTGACCCGAAGCTGCACTGCAGTCCCTGAGGTGTGCGGTTCGAATCCACCAGATGCTCTGCTGGAGACGGAGGGGCAATCTCTTCCTGTACCAGTCAGATCCGATTTGACAGCACACACACAAAACTAGTAATTTTTTTTTAAAAAGAATAAAAGCAATTGTTATTTGTTAACAAGTTGCAACCAACTCATAGTTCACCCTCCTGCAAGTTTTCAGAAGCTGAAAATCTCAAGGGAGGAAATGACCCATGTTTTGCAGAGCAGCTGGTGGGCAGGAACCACGTGCCTTTGGATCGAGTGTACAACTCCTTACTACGAAGACACCAGAAATACAGCCCGTTGAGGTCTGAGAGGAGAAGGCAGTTGGCGTGCCAGATAGTCCCTCCCTCTGCAGACCCCAGCCCCTGTGGAAACACAGCCTAGGCCAGAACAGGGAGGAGGGACCAAAGTCTGTTGTCTTTGTTCTCCTGGAAGTTTACCCCCTTGAGGCTGATAAAGGAGACCTGGTGACATAGTGTGTATAACCCGAGTCAGAGGAAGTGGGCTTTGAGGCCTAAAAGCCAGGTCCTGGACCTGTGGAAATGGGATTTCTCTTTCCAATTTTTTAAAAATTTTTTCGAATTTATTTTTTAATTTAATTTTTATTATTTTGTGTGTATTATCAAATCGGATCTGACTGGTACAGGAAGAGATTGCCCCTCCGTCTCCAGCAGAGCATCTGGTGGATTCGAACCGCACACCTCAGGGACTGCAGTGCAGCTTCGGGTCACTAGGCCACCAGAGTTCCCCAACTGCTTTTATTCTTAATGTGCTGTCAGGCTACCAACTGAAAAGTCATTGGTTCAAATCCACCAGCTTCTCCTGGGAGAACAATAAGGCCGTTTCCTCCCCAGCAGAGCATCTGGTGGATTTGAACCACTCACCTCTGCGACTGCAGTGAAGCTTCTTTCTTTCCAATTTTTAAAAGACGCACCAAACTGCTTTCTATAGTGGTTGCACAGTTTTACAGTCTTGCCAGCAGTGCATGAGAGTTCCACTCCCTTCACACCCTTGCCAGCAATACTATCTGTTTACTGAACTTGAAGCAGAAATGCAGAGACTAGGACAGACCCACTCATACCCAGGGAAGGGGACCAGGCGCTTCCCACTGTCCCATGTGGAGCTCTGAGGACAACACATTTGGGGTGGAGTTTTCTGCATGAAGAGATAGCTGTGGGTTCTAGTCCCAGCTCTGCTCCTTGGGGCTGGGTCATCTCAGTACCTCAGTTTTGTCAGCTCTAAGGTGTATATTGTAATTGCCCTGCAATGTGGAATGGCCATGACCGAGGCGATGAAGTTACAGCTCTGGCTTGGACTTGGAGTTTCCCTGGGCTTCAGATTTCCCCATCTGTAAAATGGGTCTGCAAGAAATGGAGCAGGCAGAGTGGTTCCAGTGGCCTTCAGCTCTGAATCCTCATGGCTGACCATGGTCGTATTAAGCAGAGAAGGAATTTGGACCTCAGAGAGATTCTCCCATCCTCAGTTTTCCCTTCTGTACAATGGGTCCTCCATCAGCTTCCACCCTGAATGTGTGTTTTGCCCAAGGAACTCTCCCTTGACCCATGCCTCTCACCCACCTATCCAATCCTCTCTTTCTCCATCGGAACAAGGGATTCATGCATACATTTTTGCTGGGTTCTCCAGAGTGGAAAAACAAACAGGGTGCCCTTCCCACTTCTCCCTTGCCTCCCTCACCCATGTAGCAGGTTATTCCGGGGCTCCTATGACCTCAGTCTTCCAGGCTGGACAGTGGGTCTACTGCCGGTCCAAACAGCCCCGCTCTTCCTGAGTAGTGGAGGTCCACAGTGGGTCTGGGCAGCTTTACTCTTCCAGCCTGGGTGGTGGGTTCACAGGGTCTGGGTGGCCTGCCCCCAGCCTGAGCGGTAGGTCTGCGGGGATTCAGGCAGCCTACCCCCGGCCTGAGTGATGGGTTGGCAGGGGTCCGTGGAGCTTGTTCCCAGCCTGGGTGGTGGGCCTATAATAGGTCCTGGTGACCTCACTCTTCCAGCCCAGGCAGTGGGTCTGTGGGGGTCTGTGGAGTCTGTCCCCAGCCCAGGCAGTTGGTCCAAGAGGGTCAGGGTGGTCTCCAGCCTGGCAGGTGGGTCCCTGGGATTCGGGCAGCCTGTCCCCAGCCCAGGTCCATGGGACCTGCCCAGGCTGGACGGTGGACCTATGATATGTTCAGGTGGCCTCACTCTTCCAGCCTGGGCAGTGGGTCTGCGGGGGTCCAGGCATCCTGCCCCCTACATGGGCTGTGGGTCCACAGGAGTCCGGGTGACCTGTTCCCAGCCTGGGCGGTGGGTGCCTGGTGTCCCCAGCCTAGGTAGTGGGTACATGGGACCTGTCCCCAGGCTGGGTGGTAGGCCTATGATGTGTTATGGTGGCCTCATTCTTCCAGCCTGGGTGGTGGGTCCACAGGAGTCTGGGTGTCCTTCCCCAGCCTGGGCTGTGGGTTCACAGGGTCTGGGCAGCCTGCCCCCAGCCTGGGTGGGGGTGTCCAGGGGTCTGAGCGTCCTTCCCCAGCCTGAGTGATGGGTTGGCAGGGATCCGTGGGGCCTGTTCCCAGCCTGGGCGGTGGGTCCGCGGGGGCCCAAGTGGCCTGTCCCCAGCCTGGACTGTGGGTCCCCAGGGATCTGAGAGTCCTGTCCCCAGCCTGGTCGGTGTGTCCGTGGGGCCTGTCCTCAGCCTGGACAGTGGGTCTGTGGGGGTCCAAGTGGCCTGTCCCCAGCCTGGGCAGTAGATCCCCAGAGATCTAGATGTCCTGTGTCCATCCTGGGCAGTGGGTCCATGGGGCATGTCCCCAGCCTGGGTGGTCTGTCCGTTGGGTCTGCCCCCAGCCTGGACAGTGGGTCTGCGGGGATCTGGGGGGCCTGTCCCCAGCCTGAGTGGTGGGTCCCCAGGGATCTGAGAGTCCTGTCCCCAGCCTGGTGGTCTGTCCGTGGCGTCTGCCCCCAGCCTGGACAGTGGGTCTGCGGGGGTCCGGGCGGCCTGGCCCAGCTTGGGCGGTGGGTTGACGGGATCAGCGCCCCTGACCTCTCGCCTCTTCCGCGCAGGATGAGTTCCACCCGTTCATCGAGGCGCTGCTGCCGCACGTGCGCGCCTTCGCCTACACCTGGTTCAACCTGCAGGCGCGGAAGCGCAAGTACTTCAAGAAGCACGAGAAGCGGATGTCGAAGGACGAGGAGCGGGCGGTGAAGGACGAGCTGCTGGGCGAGAAGGCCGAGGTGAAGCAGAAGTGGGCGTCGCGGCTGCTGGCCAAGCTGCGCAAGGACATCCGGCCTGAGTGCCGCGAGGACTTCGTGCTGGCCATCACCGGCAAGAAGGCGCCGGGCTGCGTGCTCTCCAACCCCGACCAGAAGGGCAAGATGCGCCGCATCGACTGCCTGCGCCAGGCCGACAAGGTGTGGCGGCTGGACCTGGTCATGGTCATCCTCTTCAAGGGCATCCCGCTCGAGAGCACCGACGGCGAGCGCCTGGTCAAGGCCGCACAGTGCGGCCACCCGGTGCTCTGCGTGCAGCCGCACCACATCGGCGTGGCGGTCAAGGAGCTCGACCTCTACCTGGCCTACTTCGTGCGGGAGCGAGGTGAGGGCGGGCCCTGGGGCGGGGCCAGGAGCGCGGGAGGCGGGGCCAGGAGCGTGGGGGCGGGACCAGGCCGTCAAGGAGATGAGCCTCTACCTGGCCTACTTCCTGCGTGAAGGAATTAGAGCGCATGCGGGTGGGGCGGGGCCGCGTCGAGATGGGGTGGAGTCATGTCAGGGACGGGGGGGGGGCCTGGGCACGCACCATTAAGGTGTCAGGGGCACCTAAGGATCTGATAGGAGAAGCAGGTGCTCTCTTGAGTCCAATGGAGGAAGCAGGTGTTCTGTTGAGTCCAATGGAGGAAGCAGGTGTTCTGTTGAGTCTAATGGGGGAGACAGGTGTACTGTTGAGTCTGATGGCGGAGGTGGATGTGCACTGTTGAGTCTAATGGGAGAGACAGGTGTACTGTTGAGTCTGATGGCGGAGTTGGATGTGCACTGTTGAGTCTGATGGGGAGGCAGGTGCACTGTGGAGTCTGATGGGGAGGC